AAATATGTATACTGTGGTCTTTTTGACAATTGTATTAATCCCTTTATAAAGTCTTCAGAAGTTCCATCACAGAAGCATGGATGCTGTTTTGATCTATTTATTACTCTTAAGTGTTCAGAGAACTGTCCCTATTTTCTAATTAACACTTTTAAAGATAAAAAGCTATGTATTAAATCAATCTGAATGATGGTTGTTTGTGAATCCCACAAGATAAGGCAATTTGCATGTTCACTTTGTACTTACAAACTAAATCTGCACATCTCCAAAGCAGCTCCTTATAATGTAAACCTTTTGTGAGTATTTGTAACTTAAAAGAAAGTTTGGCCTAGTACAGAGGCAATGCCAATTATCTAAAGGACTTCTTTACTGAACATGATTAAGATACAAAATTATTAGGTTGTTATTTTATATTGTTTGCTAAGGAATTTGAGGAAACTACTTTAGGAACGTTAAGTGTTCTGGCGTTTCTTTATTTCCTTTTTTATGTGCAGTAACATAACTTGCTTCAGGTCCAATGTTAATAGTAACCAGTTTCCACATCATATTTGGCCTCAGATGCCTTTGTTGTGAATTAAATCACTTGCTGCTGAAATCCACCTTTCACCATCTAGTTTGAGTGTTAAGCTGTGGCTACAAAAGACTTTAGAACATGAATTTCAATGTGAATATTAAATTAGAACAGTTATTCATTATTGGACTTCCAGTACTGATGATTCAGCATTATAAAGATGTTTACAAAATTAGATATTCCAGAGCAATGACATAGTTGCTCTCCCCTCCCCCACAAAACACCTCTCTTTTTTGTATCTACATGTGCTATTGTTTCCACATAGTGGAAACGCAGAAAATATACACTCGAGACGGATCTCAGAGAAGTTCTTGTTGAAGTTCTCTTTAAAAAGACTTTCTTTTACTATCTCCAATGTATTCGATCTCTGCTTTTTTACTCCTACCATAGTTCCAAACAATTTCAGGGGAAAAAGAGAGGGCATTTACTTGGTTTGCTTTCCCTGAATCTGACCCTGGCTCTAAGTATTGTTAGGTGACTCTCAAAAGAGTTCAGAGATTTTTCACTTTGGTTAAGCCCCTCAAAATGTCATAACCCTAGCTCAAGTTTCTAACCCTTTCTTCTCCTCTCTGGCTTCTTTTTCACCAAAAACTCTTCCTGTCCCCCAAGTTTGTCTGTTGTCTTGATTGCTAAATGTACCCTGATCCCTAATTCTATTAGGAATCAGGATTAGGCAGTTTGACCCAGTAGTCAGAGCAAGAGTCAGGTTTAGTGCACAGAGCAGGCACCCAGGTTAGGGAATGAAGTTAGTCAACTGCTAGTTACCAGAGTCATGGAGGTCATGGAAAGAGAGGAAGATAGATTTGCCTTACAGACAAAGTAAAAAAAAAAATATTGTTATTGTTCATACAGCTCCATGCATGTCAACGGCATTTTACAGAAAAGTAAAATGATAGATTCCTATCTGGAAGAACTGTCAATCTAAATTACACATAACAATGAGCACTAACAACGATACACAAGCGCAGAGCAGGGGAAGATGAGGTTTACACTATAAGGGTTTCTAAGACTGTGCAAAATTTTCAAACATCCAAGTGACAAGTCTAAATCCCATTTTCAGAAGTGATTTAGTCACACATGCACTTAAGTATCATTGAAAGTCAATGTGATGGACTCCACTTCCACCCACTTCCCATTCATTTGCATAAGGGATGAAGTAGGGGCCCCCAACAATGTCTGGTCTTTCCCCACATAAAGCAGTTGGCCGAAGTCTAATGCTCCTGCAGAGCTGCAAGTTGCACATTATAGGCTTTGTTCTCTATTTTGTTCCTCTTTCTAAAAGTGCAATAGAAAAGAATAAAATGTAAAGACAATATTTAAGATGATGTCTGGGGTGAAGGCCTATTAAAAGTCTTTTAAGAGAGTCTGTAATAACTATTAAAACATCCTTTGTACTGCAGCCCAACCCTGGACATCAGTGCTATGATACCATGATGATAGCACAGTGGCCAACGTGAAATAAGAATCTGGTCTCAGTTTAGTTCCTAACGGTCCAGTGTCCACATTACCAGAAAAAAAATCAGTAATTAGCACCATTGTTCACAGCCTCATCAGGGAGCCTATGGACTGCATAGGCATGGAACATGCCTTTTTTGTCACTTAGCAAATGGCTGAGACATTTTTACAGGGAAGCTTGCACTGTTGTAGCCTCAGTCTGTTCTGTGATCAAAGGGCTATACAGTGCAGCCCATATCACATGCACTGGAATCACTGAAAAAAATGTTAAAAAGAGAGGAAGAATGACCATGCCACTGTAGATATCATAGGAAACAAAGCAGATTGATAGGTAGGTTACTAAACACACTGTGAATTTTCACAGTGGATCAGCAGAAAGTTATGAAGCACAGGTGTTCCTGTAATTGTGATACATCGGGAAAATTCACACAGTTAAATGAGCCTCTGCTTCACACTTCCACCTGTGTGATGTTGAAATGTACTGTTTGTACACTGGGTTATAATAGACAATATGTAGGAGTGATTACTGGCTGGTTCGAGACCTGCTAAGATTTTTTTCACTGTGCTTCTTTATTCATCTGAGTGTATAATTTCTGCATTTATATTTACCACAGTTGTAAAGTGGGAAATGTGTGTTATACATGCTGGTAAAATAATGATAAGAACATACAAAAAGGAAGTTAAAACACTGTATGGCAGAAAAAAAATCCTGAAGGCTCATATGCAGAAAGGATAGCTTTGAACCTGGAGGGTGTGTAGGAATAAGAAGGCTTTTCAGAGAACTTCAAATGAAATTAGACTTTTTTCTCAGGTTAGAATTCTATTAAAACACTGTTTTTATATGTGGAGAGAGGGGGAGAGAATGGGTTTAGAATGAGAGGAAGTGTACAGCCTGGAAACAGAGAGAAATAGAAAAATGGGACCTGGAAAGAGAGGGAGTAAAATATCTACATAGATCACCTACAACTGAAAATGAAAAGAAGAACACTCTCATACAAATGTAATTTATGTTAACATGTTTTACGGTTATTAAAGAGACTATCAGAGAGCAAGGACTTCTGGATTCTGTGCCAAACACTGGCACAAGTTTGTCACATGATCTTGGGCAAAGCATGTAGCCCATGATTTAGTTTACCCACATTTTATTGATATATAGATGCTTTATTTGCACATTAAATAAATCTAAATTTCATAAAAACTATCCACAATGGATAATTTTAAAGAACTGCAGCTGTCTTAAAAATTAAGACTATTCCTGTTGCCCTAAAGGTTTGAACCAAAGTATTCTCAATGCAATAAAGAAAAGCAGATCTTAAGTATTCATAGCCGGCCTGCAAAGTCAGATTCCGGTCTCATGAACACAGGTGTAAATATGGAAAAACTCCATTGGTTTCACTGGAGTGACTCCAAATTCACACGGTTGTAACTCTGAGCAGAATTTGGCTTGTTATGTACAAAATGCACAATGAAATTTGAATCAAGAATTAAAATGAATATTTTGCTTGTGAGCAGTCTGTGAATGTGATCAGATTCTGTGCTTTTGTCTAATTTGCTGTTAAATTATGAACTGTGCCTTTGTACAGTTTCTTAGTTATAATATTTCAGTGCCTTTGTCACTCCATTGTGTGTTAATGACATTACAATTGTTAGGCATACGCACCAAGTTTAGCCTAAATCCTCCACTCACTGATTCTTCATTAAACAACAACAAACTGTGAGGGTTAGTTCTTCATCAGCACTTCAATTTCCTCATGAAAAATTGGCCTTCTTTCTTGGCTTGTGAGCACCCCGACCAATATCAGTCATGCCTTGTTATATAACAAAAGGAAATAACAGTGACTGCAACAGCAATCTGGCTTTGCCTGCCTGTGCTGGATGCCATTTTGAATTGTACAGCCCAGTCAGCATGCACTGTTTCCTCATCACCTTAGAAATGACAAAACAAGGAAACAGAACACATTCTCCCTTGTATCTGGCCATGCCAAATCAGCTTGGATGATTTTGTCTAGTCGGGAATGAAAGAGGTGAACTTGCTAGAAAGAGAGGTGGAAAAAATCTTCACATCCTTTTCACACTAATTTTGGTTTATAGATGTGAACAACTGACAATTATTCACTTGCATAAGTGGCTTGCCTCTTTCCCAAGCTAGGCTTGACTCAATCAAAGAGGTGCCAGATACGGACCTTAATGCTTAAATGGCATCTTAGTGACTTCAACCGAACTCTTTGAGGACATTTGAATCTACACACCACTGCTTGCAAGACCGGTGAATAGTTTTCCATTTGGGGGACCACAGATGTGTTGTTACTCTTGTGGTAACTTAATTAATAGCTATTGAAATTAGGAGTGTGGTAATCTTGTATACTTGAAATCCAACAAAAAGTATTTAAGCACACGCTTAATTTAAAGCAAAAATTAGTTCTCTGAGCAATGGAACTATTTCCTTTGCTACTTGTCTGTATAGTACCTAGCAAAATAGGAGCCTGACACTTTATTGGGTTTTCTACATACTACTGTAATGCTGTGACGAATTATGTTATAGTGGGGCTACTCACTAATTTAAAATAAAGTGCATATTTAAGTATTTTGCTGGATCAGCATCTATGTCAGAGCTTATAATTAAGGACTGATCTTGTGAGGCATTAAGGCCACTTGTACCTTTAAAGCTAGATTTACAAGGATCTCAGTGATGCCTGAGAGGTGCAGAGAATGCTCATCACCTAGTGAATTAACTATTGCACAGGATTGGGTCCTAGTGCTTTATTGTGAACCAATGACATCAATGGGAGTTTTGCAACTGACTTCTAAGTTTCAGGATTGACTCAGGAGTAACCTGCTTGGTAATCACCCAGAAAAACAACCGAGAATTTTTCTATTTTAAAATTAATTAATTGTCTTGGCTGAAGTTTGTGATGTGCTGAGTGGATTTAAAAAAAAAAGAGGAGGAAGAGAAGGTGGCTCAGTGACTTACATAATAATCTTCTTTTTGACGGTATGATGGATCAGATGGCAGTTTGGTAATTTTTAGCACAGCTCTTGTTTAGCCCAACAGACACAGAAAATGAAGCTCTCATTTGCTGACTAAAAAAAAAAAAAAAAAAAAATATCACAGTTGAGGTCGATTGATGAAGCAATGCAAAGAAGCCTGTTCTGTTCCCAGCTTGTGGATAAACAATACCAACCATCACCCTTCACTAGTTATATATTCAACTATTGAATATTTAAAAAGCCAGCTAAGCTTCTGTATGGCTTACGAGTGATTTGTAGAAAAAAAATGTCAGATTATTATACATTTAGTAACACTCGAAGCAGCCAAGATGTCCTACGTGTTTAACACGGAATAAAATAATTACTGAAAAAAATATTAAAGAAATCCAAGCTATACCAAAACCATACGGAATGATAAAACCATGAAAGTGGATTTTCCATTACGCTGTAAATTCTTAGGAGGCCAGGAGTTAAGTAAATCTCCCTCAAAAAACCCCAAAACAAACAGAACAAAAATGAAGCAAGGAAGGTACAGTAGTTACTTTCTTGAAAACAAAACCAATCTTTTCATTCCTGCCATTTGTTTGAATTCTTCCTCCGGGCAAGCTGGACAGCTGCACTAGTAGGTTTTTTAGTCATGGGTTGTAAGCCCCACCTGGCTAGATTTGTTTAGCAGACAGCTGGCAGAATGAAATAAAAAGAACAGGGACATACAAACTGCTTCCAAAACAAAAAGCCGAAAGAAGACTTTTTGGATGCTTTAGCTTTCATTGGGTTTATTGCTTGTGCATGTGCATCTGAAGGGAATTCTTCCCTTAAATATACACGTGTTTACCTTCCCCCTTCAACTCCCATCCCAAAAACATAAATGAAGCCAAAAAGAACAAAAAAGTTGGTTCAGTTAAATAGATAAACAGCAAGGAAAAAGCGTGTCTTAGCCTATTTGTTTATTTTTGTCAATACACACCCACACAAACACCTCATTTATGGTTTCTAAGTTCCCAAGAATGACATTGGTTTTAAATTAACTTGTCCCCCCCTCTCTATTTTTTAAAGCCAATAAAATAGATTTTCTTTGTCTGGAATGTTCTTTCTAGCTTAAAGATAAGAAGGAGTTTAAAATTGTGGGAATGGCATCCCTCCTGCATCTGTTTCTCTCACAAACCTATCAAATATCTAATTTTTGGCATTACTGCTGGCTCCAACAGGGGGATGACATAAACCAGCTTTGTGGTTACATGTTTCACTTTTAATCTCATGAAAATGAAAAATCAGTGCTGAAATGTCCCTTTACATGTGACAATGTGGGACTCTCTTCCAAAAACCAAAGGAAAGGGGCGTAAACCTGGTTAAGCTTAATATACAGCATATGTATAAATGTGCTTTTAGTTCAGTTTTAGCATGATCCTAGCACAGCTATCTCAGCTGTTTTTAGAATCATGCTAAAACTACTTTTAAACAATTTAGAAAATATCATTGTTGATACACATAGCACAACACATTTTGTTTAGCCCTAGTGTAAAATAGGAATCAGTATATTAGCAGGCTCCTGTGTGACAACATCTCTCAGTAAACATCAATTTCTTCAAAACTAAAATACTCTTAGAAGACTTTAGATTGACCATAACACATTTTTCTAGTTAAGAAGAAGACAATCTGATTTTTTCATGAGTTCTTCGTTGTACTTAACACAGTCAAAGTATTGTATAGAATACTAAAACTAAGACAGTATGATTTGGATACTGTCCTGACTTGAAGAATTCTGTGAAAACCAACTCCAAATGTTTAAGAAAGCAGCACTGTCTGTATTTGCCTATACCTTCTTAATCAACCCACATGATATGGGGTTAGAACAAACCCCAAAATGGCCTGAAATGTAAACCTATTTCCATATTTAGTGGAAACACACCAAATATTAAATAGAAGGCCCTGAAACAAATTGAACCCATTACATAATACTTGCTTTTCAGAGCAGAAGCCTTTCTTGGCTCTTTTCCACTGCTGCCTATACATCTTGACAGAGCATAGACTTTATGGAGCCTGGTAAGATATGTGCATTTCAGAGTTCCTACTTTACCAAAAACACTGATATCAATATCATATGCTTCAACTAGTAGGGGCTATGCTGGTTTAATCCTTTTGGACTCAAAGAAACGCAATGCCCTATTCTGGGGTAGGGTAGGCAAAAAGCAAAGAGACTGTTACTGTATACAGATTTTATATACTTATGAAAATGCACCTCCACCAAAGAATGAGCAAAGAGGCACGGTGTGAAGGGAGGAGTGTGTTGGTATTGTTAATCTACACTATTAAGATTTCTGTGTGACCCTTATAGACAATCCAATCTTTGCTGTAGCCCATCAGTTTTCTATTTAGTTTAATGGATACAATTACATTTGTTCGGTCAGCCTGCATCTTTTTGTTGTAAAGGATGTCAAAGCTTTTCATTTCTATCCCCTTTATTTTCCTCCTCCCTAACTGAAAAGTGGAAGCCAGACTAATTTTGCATTTCTGAATTCTTTGGTAAACGCTTTATAAGAATTCACTAGGTCTGCCCTAGATGAACCTGCAACTCAGCCAACTTCTTTACTAAAGAAAATTGATTCTTGTTTACTCCTTTCAATAAGGAGAATCATGATGAATTTTAATAGGCTAACCCCCCACTGCTAGAAAATCTCCCTCCTTTGGCTCTGTAAGCTTTGAAATACGTAAATCAGAAATAAGCCTGGATTTAAAAAAAAAAAAGAAAAAGAAAAGAAGAAGAAGGAATTCTACATGTTTACAGCTCATCCTTAATACTTGGCTCATCATCCAGGTTTTTTCCTGTGTACCTCACCCCAATGAACACTCTTCACTTTGTTGCTTTATTATGAGAGACCCTAATTGTGAACTGACCTTTACTTTTTAACAGAAGGGCTAATGAATAACAAAACCATTGGAAGTATTCGTTTCTATGCTGATAAATTAACATAATTCTTTTTAATTCTGTTAAGCAGACACATTTTATTCTGGAGAGGACTGTTTGGGGAAGTAGAAGTCCAGAAGGAAAAAAAAGACATTGCTTTATAAAAATGTCCCCTAAAATTATGACTCTCGGCATAAATAAACATGCAACATATACTTTTTGAGGCCCTATTTGTGTAACTAGAGCTACGGGGCAAACCCCTGTGGTCCTGCAAAACATAACTGATTTTGCTGGTGTGTCACTTAAACACTTGCATGGTTTGATTGCAGGATTGGTGTCTCAGATTGCAAACTTCTTGGGGCAAAGACTGTCTTCTTTTAAGGTTTTGTACCACACCACATGCAAGGAAAGCTCTCATTAAACAATGCAGATGTCATTTTTAGTAAAGACAAATTGTAACCTGGTATGCAAAATAGGGGAATAGTTGTCTGCCATACTGTTCAGTTTTAAAAAAGTCATTGTTGGGCAATGACTTTTATAAGAAATCTTTAGTTAATTTTGGAGGATAAGAAAGTCAGATCAATTTTCCTTTACTGCTTTGAATGTTTTATTATAGTGTGTGTCATCCCCAAATATCCCCAAACATTTATTAACTTAAATAGATATAACGACTCTGCCACGGACCATTTCTTTTAGCAATGAAAAGCATCTGCTTCTTGATGTGAACCCTCCACCATTTTTTGTATGGGCAGAATATCATGAGTCCAAGTTAAAATGTGACCAGAGCACAAAGGCTCATAACCCTGTCTTGGCTGAAGTGTTGGAACTTTAATAAGCAAAAAAAATCAAGACCTTGTTTTAACTTGGCATCTCCAGCAAATAGTGTCTCCTAGTGCCACGCTAAGGCACTGGACTAGTACATACTCAGATGCATATCTGGTAAAAAAGAAATGCAAGAAGATTAATATTTCAAAGGTGCTTCCATTTTGCTGGGTTTCCCATCTTTCATTTTTTCACAACATTTCTAATATAGGTTGAAACTCTCTAAACTGGAACTCTCTGGTCCGGCAACATCAGAGGTCTAGGAGCCAAGTTGGGATGGATGCAGGATGCGTAGGGACATGGAGCCCTGCCATGGGAGTTTGGCTGTGCTGGTGGCAGGACAGCCAGAGTGCCTGCATACTCCAGCAGGGCAGCAGTCTGCTCTGGCGGGGCTAGTAGCCCTGGGACTGATAGCAGGACCACAGGCTGCCATGGCAGAGCTGGTGGGGCCAGGTCACCCACAGTGGGACTGTGGGACCATGGGCTGCTGCTTCTGTGGTAGTGGGACCCAGAATTGCAATTAAAAACCTAGATTTTTGGTAAACAAAACCTTATCCATTTCCACAAACATGCTGATAATATCTTTGATTTTAAAAAAATGCATACTGTTGGGTTTTTTTTGTTTTTTGTAAAAAGGGAATCCAACCACCAATAACTTTTCATTTGAGAAAAATTTCTCCCAGCTTTACTGGGAAGAACATAATGCCTATGCTATCATTGGTGGTCTGCAAACCAAGCAACAACCCAGCTTCATTTATGGTGCTTTATGAAACCTCAGCCTGAGATGTTTTGACTGCTTGCACTCACAATTTTGATTTTACTTTGATTTCAGGCTTTTAACATCAGTATGCATGACTCTCTGAGGGCTAAATCATGTTCATGGATGTGCAATGCCTTGTCACTCATACAATTAGTTATCATGCTTGTGCATGAACTACAGTGGATTTTATGAGGTATCTGATGATGTATACACATGTATTTAAAATAATCCATTTCTAATTCGGAAAGTTTTGATAATCTGAACTTTCATCTTATCAAAAACCCTTTAACAACTTAGTTTTCTCCAATAAAATTAGGCAGGAAAAATATAGACTTTCCAATAATATTTTGAATTTTTCTTCTATGCTATTATATAGATTTATCATTATTCAGCATTATTCCATCTTACCAAATGTAAAAGAAATATAGTATGGCTTTGTATCATAGGAATAAAGTGAATTTAAAACTAAAACATATTGGTAGTGATGCTTAATTAATTTAAATAATACAGTCTAATGAGAATAAATAGTGACCCTGATTCAAAAGAGCACTTATGCATGTGCCTAACTGTAAGCATACGAGCAGTCCCACTGAAATCAATTAAACT